ATGTTTCAGAACAACTCAAAAGGAATGAAGAACTGTTTTAAGGAAACTGGACTTAGGTACATACATTCTTCCCTCTTGCTGTGGGAGCTAATATTTGCCTTTATTACTTTCAGGGTGTGATTCCAAAAGTACTCAACGCTGATCTTGTTCCAATTCCTCTGAAGTCACCAGTAAAACTTTCGTTAGCTCAAAAAGATAGTATTGATGTTGGTTGCTTTTTTAAAAGAGCTCATTACCTTGGTGTTGCAGAAGCATTTTTCTTGAAGAACTGGCAAAGGTAAAAAGAAAACCCAATAACAGAACAAAACAGAGTAACAACCAAGTCTTTTTCTTGTTGAAGTAATGACTCATAAAAGGGTACAGCCATTCCCTAACCTTCAAAGGTTTTATCACTTCTGCTTAGAACTGATCATCACCAGTGATGATTTTTTAAATACGCAAATAAGATAGCTGGCTGCATTACAACTATGTCAGGTTCCCAGTCAGAAGGCAGAAGAGATGAGCCTCAGCTCCGGAGTTGGAAGCTAGAGGAGCAATGGCGTTTGGCAGGCTCCCGGAGGAAGCTGTATCTCAAGTAGCTGTGCTCTGGTTTTGAGGGTAGCAGGTGAGACATATAAAAGCAAGTTGGCCTTATATAAAATCTATTATACCACAAAGCACTTGGTTAAAAGCAAGTTGCTGCTTAGAAATTATGGGGACTCATCAACTGGTCTTCACCCAGAGTCTAATTTTTTTTCTGAATTCCTAACATACAGCTGAAGAACTGAAGTTGTTTCTTGGATGTAGCGGAATCTAAAGAGGCAGTCAGTCATTTATACATCCTTGAGGGACACCTTAGGATATGGTAAGCAATCCAGAACGTCCCTATATCCAGAATGCTCAGAACAATATGCCTGCCGTGGTGTCACTTCTGACATCAGATATAAACTTCTTCCCAACCCATACCTGAATTTCAATGTTGATATATCCTGAGGGTACTGTTTAGTAGCATGGTATTCATTCTGAATGCACTTTACTATATTACGGAATATTTTACCTAAACACTTTGTTTCACACTGTCACCACCATTCACTAGAATTTGTTATTGCTGCAAGAATCATCAAAATACTACTGAAGGTGAATAACTCTAGGGAAAGGAAATAGAGAAATGGATCAAACAAATTAAACAAAGTACATAGATACTCCAAGTTTGAAATTGAGAGCATTAAAATAGAGAGAACGTATTAAAAACAGAGAAATATTGGCTATATTGTGAAGAGCACCCCATCCTCTGCAACTTCTCTCTCCTCCTTCACAGATACACACAAGACAACAGGATAACTATTTCTTTGGGGTTCATTTCTCATCTAAAGTCAGAATATCCATGAGCTTGTACCGTAATTACTCCAGCAGCTAATTATGATGCCATAGACAGACCATTGTGACTCAAGGACCAGCCTGAGCAGCAGGAACAAATGCAAAGCAAACAATAATGTCTGTGCTCCCACGGCAGCACTGTGGCTTTAGCAATAAATAGAAAAAAGAATACACAAATAATTCAGAAAATGTATGATGTTCACAAATACTCTCTACAGACAAAGTGTTTTTAAGATTAGACTAAGTGTTCCTACAAGCAGCATACAAACTTTGAAGAATGCAGTGAAGAACACAGGGAAAATTTACAAATACAATTCTCCGTAACAGAGGATCAGGGAAAACTTGTGGTCATATTTATACTGTTTCATGCTGAGCGGATGACAAGGCTTAAGAATAAAACTGGTACTTACATCCTGAACTGCCGTTCGTTGGAACCAAAGTGAAGTTGGAGGCCCAGGGGTTACGCACGATATCCTGCCAATGAATGGTGTCTGCGAAGCAAAGAAATTTGTTCTGGCCAACATACACCCCTCCATTCAGTATTTCTGCATAAAAGAACAAGAGAACATACTTGTAAGACTTCAGACATACAGCTGATTAAATCTATTGCTGCTTTGTGTACTGGAGAGAGAGGGCATGAAATTTAAATGCAAAAAATTCTCACTGTAATCTCACTTAACACTCTGAAAACTGGAGGGCAAGTAGCTTACAGCATTTCTAAACAGGAACCATTTATTTATATGCAGAAGAAACCTGATGAAGACAGCCACACAGTTGCTAGATGAGTTACTGGGTTTACCTGTTGTTCCAGTGTAATTAAGTATGGAACAGTACTGTTATTTGTGGGTAAAATAACCTTGAAGACTTAACTGACTTTAAAAACACGAGCAATCAACCACACTATGCTGTATTTCATTAATATGTATGAACGCTTAAAACATACAATAAACTAATGGGCTCCACTGGGGTAGTAATTTTCTGAGCCCACAGTACATGAGAAGGGTCCAGTCATCACAATGTCTGGAAAAGCGTGTTTTCTGATCAGACTGTGCTGCTGTAATACCATGATCCGAAATACTCAAATACTCAATATCTATGATCCAAATCTCAAATACAATGATCCAAAACTACCATTGACGTGCCTTGCTGGAAGCTTTGTGTTGAAGGAAGATGGTTTCTGAGCAGATGAAAGTGTTGAGTTTTTTTTTTAAATTTTCATGTTTATATCAGTTTGTTTAAAAAAAAAGGCTTGTTTTGTTGTCTAAAGACTTCATTTGCCAAATCTCAACATGAAAATGATCTTACAGTTGTTGGTTGTAGCACCAGCATTTCCTCTGGAGCAATAAATTGGTTTTTTTTACCCTCTAAACTCTTGTTCAGATTCACAATTTCTCTACTTAACTTGGCTCTCGTATTTCCAAAGCAGAGGACAATCCATGTGACTTTCATTAAAGTTAACAGGAGCTATGCAGCTAAAACCTCCTGCACTGCTTAGTGTCAGAGGTTCAAGCCCCAGCAAAGAAATGTTGAAGGTTAGTTACTAATGGCACCTTAGAATGACATTAAGTGGTGCTATACAGCCAGGAGCGTCACACTTCTCACAGAGACATCTTGACTATGGTAGCAATGATTAAGGTCGTCTGATAGTCCTCATCTCCCAAAAAAACCTTTAAAACCTTAAAAGCTGTAGTGGGAATGCTAATGTTGACAAACAACAAGGAAGGAATTAAAATTTCAGGGTTTACAGGCCACAGCATGTAGAGGAGGTAGCCCCCAAGAAATGAACGTATTAAATAAAGGATCATCTGTAAATACATACTTCCACCATATTAATCAGTTCAGAGTATTACTATTTCTTAGAAACCTCTGGTTTAAAAGCTTGGCTTTTCATTGAAAAGGGGCTTAAAAATGAAAACAATAATAATAATAATAATCTTATACAGAAAAGAGTCCAGATTAGAGATATAGCAATGATCTGTCTGTATGATATTCTTATGACCCCTGAAAAAAACCATACAGCATCTGTTAGCAATTCTGCTCTGGGGAAAAAGTGGGACTTAGAAGAACACCTGAAAACATGACTAGTGATGATTTCTCTGTGTTGTCCCAGCTATACAGGATTACCTAATCCATTATGGCCCAGATTTTGATTAAAAATAATATCCAACAAGCCATGAAAAACTGTAAAAACTACATTCATAGCTTCTTAAACACTTGCACATGATTCCAAATAGTGTCACTATCAGTTGGTACATCTGAACACCCGCCACTGGCGCAGTTTGTGGGTTTTAGAGCATTCACTCATGACAATACCTATCAAATTTTCTTTTCTGCTAGGAACTGTGATGCATTCTTGTATAGCAGGCAGCATCCCACTCTAAAAGTAATTATGATAGTTTTAATTTGTGGAGAAAGACTTTTTTCAGCATAAAAGTAACCAGAAAGTGTCCCCGCTGTACTGTAAGAAAAGCTGACAGCTTTCCTTATGGTTTACTAAAAGCAAACATGGAAAATGCTCTGACTTCCCTTTTTTTTTCCTGCTGCCCTTCCCCAAAACCGTGATGCAGTATCTTTATTTGCCCTGCACTCTACCATTTTTCACAGGTGACAGGATTAAAGTTTACAGGTCTATTCATGCGGTGAGACGCTAATAAACCTGAGTAATAATATCAAAGATGGGCTCTTACAGATATTAAATAATCCTGAGTTCAAAGTTTAGTACAATCTTTAAAGTACTTGTGCTTGACTCTTCCTGCTCTCTGGGATCCAGATTTATTCCCTTTCTACCTTCCTGTTCCAACCTGCTATCCTACTTTTCTTTATGCTCAGTCCTCGGCATGTGTAAAACAGCACAGATGCATTGGCTTCACTGACTTAAACTCAAATGCATTTTGCACTTCTCTGCCCTCTCTTAGCAAGAACAATGCCTGGAAAGACCTAATAAACCCTGTTACATGTTAAGCAAATGAAGCACAAATGTAATCAATATACAATAGAGTTACTGTATAATGAACTCATCATCATAAAGTCATCATCTCATTTTAATTTACAGCACTGAAAGTGAGAGATAAAGTTAAACAATAAACAGGAGGAGAAAGGCAGGCATCTCTGCCTATGCAGACGAGCTAGAAAAGGAAGCCAGGCAAAAAGAGCTTTCTTCTCCTGTGTGCAACACCTGAGGTGCCTCTTTGCTGAACTCTTTCCGGGGCTGGAGCAGGAAAGAGAGTGACAAGTCCCCTAGTAAATTTTGTGATTTCTACTGCAAAGAAAGAAGCTAGTTCCTGCCAAAGCAGCACTAAAAAGGACTGCTCACAGTGGAACGTTTTTTAAATACCATTATTTAATGTATTTTTCTCTTCTAAAACAATTTTTTGTGATACTGGAAAATTCTTAGTCTAAGTACAACACTGCTGCCTGGGACAGGAGGCAAAGCACTCAGCAATATCAACTGCTGCCTGAAATACCTACTGTGCTGCGCTGGCAGCAAGTGTTACCCTTGGACTTCTACGCTGCTCAGGGACACAGAGTTACAAAAGAGGATTTTGAAGCACAAGTCCCACTAGCTTTCATTGGGAAAAGAGTTCCTAAAGGTTTCAGACAAGTTTGGATGCCTTCCTGTAAGGTACTGATGGCCACACTTAAGAGTACCACAATCTCCCATTTTGGCACCTGGGCTGCAGCCGGTGCTCGGAGCAAAGGAGTAGCTCCAAGGTCTTTTGCCACTTGATTCTGAAGTGAATGCAAAATCTTATCATCTTCCTTATTAGAATTACTTTACTGGCTTAAAAGCAGTATAATTCTGTAACCAAAGTTATGTGAAAATAAATCAGCAAGTGCACTCGCCAATGACTTCTGTCATTATTTTGCTTATTGCTGCCAAATGATTGCGGGGAACTTAAATCTGCATATTATTAGAAGTCTATTAAATAGTTATTTATTCAGGAAGCTAAATCAAAAATGTATTTTCCATTATATCTGCTATTTTCTTGCTTCCATTAGCCCAGTGATGAAGCAGAACCATTACCACATAACTTTGGTAACCTACCATACAATACTTACCATACTAACAGAAGAAATGGAAACATACAGGTCTCTGGCAACCATGAAACACAAGTATCTTACACTTTCCATGAAGTGCCATGGAACACAGATAGGTACATCACGCACAATTTATAGTCTGCTAAGTTCAAAAAGGGGCTAAATTCATAACATCTATTCTAATAGAACGAATTTGACTGGAGTCAGTGAAAATGTGTAACCAGCCACCAGAAACTTCAGGTCACTGTAAATAAGGCAAAGGGACACTAGGTCTGCAAGTGTGTTGTCTGTTTAAACCGGAGATGGAAAGAACTCTTCTTCATCCATCTGTTAAAAGGGCATTTTCTTCAGCTGACTTTTCCTTGTGCACAGTGTAATTCCTCATGGTCTGTTATCTAATTTCTAATGTGGATTAAATTGGCAAAATGTTCATATTCAGCAACGTATCCTGAAGTGCCAGTAACTCGTGTGTGTTGCTATGCAGTGGGGGCTGTAGGCACCTATTTCGCAGTAGAATCTGGTTCTAAAATTGTTATAAAATTGGTTATAAAATTGCTATTGCTATTCAAGGTTGCAAATTAAAAGCTTTTCTCTGGTGCTATGAAGCCAGCTGGCACGATGAACTGGAAGAAGGCATAGTGAGAGGGAAAAGAAGTAGCTCTAAAGTGGGCAGAGAAAGGGGAAGGAGTTAATTAGGAAAAACTGTTGGGCATGTCCACTGTAACCACTTCAAAAGCAAAACAGAAGACATCTTATACCTTCCAAGCTGATTGTCTGCTAAGGAAACAGCTGTCTTTTACACTACACCATATACAGGTATACTCTGTCCATACGCACTATATAATGCTTGTTGATGATACCTTAATTTCCAAGGTCAGCCTCCATTACAGCTGAAGCATCTCTGCATGCTGACAGTGCTGCATCTTCGCCATCATCACCCAGATGATGGGGATCTGTTGTCAGACGCTGTATCACTCTGAAAACACTGTCATATTTCACCCAAGATGCTGAATGCATTATTCGAAAATGGCTTTGGCCTGGAAATTTCATGCCAAACCAAGTTTTTTGATCTCTTAGCACAGTTGATTGCTGATGACCCACTGGGAAAGCACTTCAGGTCCATCATTAATAAGCTATGTCTTAAAGGGTAATGAGAACTGGGTGCTTTAGGAGACAATAGCTCATCCATCATCAATCAAGATCTGAAGTTTTTATACAGATGATTTAAGAAGAGTTGGACTGTGTAAAATTGAAATGTCACATTTGTATTGGGAGATGGGGGGAGCTTGGTAATGAAAATGAGAGTTTTAACCTTCTCCATTTCAGCTCAATGACCATACTCAAAAGCTCATGGATGTGGAATCTGTGTACCAGCTAGAAGCCCCAGACAGCCTTCGATCTCAATTATACAATTTCAAGTAAAGATTATTTGGGTCATTAGCTGGAAGTCAGTTTCAAGGCTTGATGGTAACAGCAAGATATTCTTTATTTCTATCAAAAGCAATCA